TATATTTTTTAAGAAATGTCATTTTAGATTCTTTATTCACTTTTTAATTGACCTATTTATCATTTGATTATTGAGTTGTAAGAGTTCTTTTTTTCTTTAAATCTTTATTGTTGAGCTTATTACAGATGTATCTCTTTTTTCCCCCCATTGCCCCCCTGCACCTGGTTCCTGCCCCACCCCAGGCCTTCGCCACCCTATTGTTTGTGTCTATAGGTAATGCTGGTATGCATATAAGATCTTTGTTTAATCTTCCCACTCCCCCAACCCCCTTCCCTCTGAGAATAATCAGTCTATTCAATTTCCATGCCTCTGATTCTATTTTATTCACAGTTTATTCTGTCCATTAGATTTCTTATTAGATCATTTTGATTTTTAGATTCAATTATTGATAGGTATGTATTTGTTGCAATTTTGTTGTTAATGTTTTTTATCTTTTTCCTTTTCTTCTTCTTCCTCTTCTTAAAGAATACCCTTCAACATTTCATATAATACTGGTTTGGTGGTGATAAACTCCTTTAGCTTTTTCTTATCTGTGAAGCTCTTTATCTGACCTTCAATTCTAAATGATAGCTTTGCTGGGTAAAGTAATCTTGGTTGTAGGTTCTTGCTATTCATCACTTTGAATATTTCTTGCCCACTCCCTTCTGGCCTTCATAGTTTCTGTTGAGAAATCAGCTGACTGTCATATGAGCATTCCCTTGTAGGTAACTAACTGCTTTTCTCTTGCTGCTTTTAAGATTCTCTCCTTGTCTTTAACTTTTACCATTTTAATTATGATGTGTCTTGATATAATCTTCTTTGGGTTCCTCTTGTTTGGGATTCTCTGTGCTTCCTGGACTTGTAAGTCTATTTCTTTCACCAGGTAGGGGGAGTTTTCTGGCATTATATCTTCAAATAGGTTTTCAGTCTCTCTCTCTCTTCTTCTTCTGGCACCCCCAGAATACAAACACTGGTACGCTTGAAGTTGTCCCAGAGGCTCCTTACACTATCTTCAGATTTTTTTTATTCTCTTTTCTTTTTGCTCTTCTGGTTGGGTGTTTTTGCTTCCTTGTATTTCAAATCATTGATTTGATTCTCGAGATCCTCATTTTGAAAATCCTAACTTAACTCTGGTGCTGTGTCACATATAGAATTTTTTTGATATTTGCAACCATAGTAAAACAAAGATTTATATTTTTGATATTTATTTTATATATTTAAATGTCATTTAACAAAGAAAAACCAACCAAAAAAATGAGTTCATGTGTCAGAGGTGTCATGGGTTTGCCATCACTGCTACAGGGCCTAGTGGCTCAGCCTCCTCAGTCACTTGAGCTGAGAGTTCTAGAAGTACCCCTTTGTGGACTGTGAGCACAGTCTTGTTTTAGTTGAGCCTTGATTACTGTTGGTGTCACTGGGAGGAATTGACTTCCAGGCCAATTGGCTGTGAGGACCAGCTGTCACTACAGTGGGAGAGCTGCTGTGCAGGAGACACCCCTATGGAGCAGGACTTGCTTCAGTGGAGCTTTAGTGCTCACTGAGTCTGCCTCTTGAATGTCATGTATGGATGTGTAGAGTTGTAATCTGGTATGGTCTGACACTGACCACTGGGTACACTGGCTTTTGGGTCTCCAGGAAAGTGCAAAGTCAGCCACTGCCTGGGGCCACCCAGCAGGAGCTACAGAGAGATCCACGGATTCCTCTTCTTTGTATCAGATTTGGAAATGCCCAGGAGAGGCCCAGCTGTAAAGCAAGGCAGGATGCTGCTGGTGCCAGATCTTGGACCTTTTATTGATAGGTTTGGGGCTTCGTGACCCAGCTGCAGCTTGTTTGAGAGATTATAGCCTGAGTAAAGATAGGCCATTTATATGCAAAAGCCACTACACACTATTTATGTGGGGTTGTAAATTGGATGAGGCAGGGTCTTAGGGAATCACAGGGCGGAGCAAACAGAAATGGCTGCCAGTCAGCCATACACCAGGGAGGTCCCAGCATAGGAACAATGCTCCCTGTGAGTACCTCCATCTGAGAGAAAGCCACCTCCACGTTCCTGCCCTGATTCCAGATAATTCAGTTCCTCCTCATATGTATCTGTGTCCCCCAGAGCCTCATCCTGTTGCTAGAGCTCAGAGGAAGCAGAATCTTGTAAGTTCAGTTCATGGTGCTGGCCTTTTAAGAGGAACAGCTGGGTCTCCAGCAGCATCTGTGTCACTGAGCAACAATCTGTACTGTTTTTTATAGCCTGTAGTTCTTACTGCCCATAGGGACTTCTCTTCCCAGCTCTGGGACCCTGGGATGGGGGTCTGGTGTGGAGCTGGGACCCCTTGCTCCTCTGGGGAGCCTCCACAGAGACAATATCCCTCCAGATTAAAATTGCAGCACACATGGGTGCTGAAGCAGTCCATTACGTGCCTCCGCACTTCCACACCTCCTACCCATCTCAATGCACTTTCTTATTTACCTCTCTAGTTGTAGGACTTCCATTCAGCCAGCTTTTAAGCGGTTCTGGATGATGATTATTCTGTGTTTTAGCTGTAATGTTGATGTGGTTGTGGGAGGCAGCGAATACAAGCATTTACCTATACCACCATCTTCAAATCTCTCATGAGTTTTTTATACATCCAGCATATAAATCCCTTATCACATATAAACTTTTTTTATGTGGGTGTGGTTTTTACTTCCTTAATTATATAGTTTGGATCAAAAGTATTTTATTTTGATTTATCTATTTTTTTCTTTTATTGGTTGTGGTTTTGTTGTGTATGAGAAAGGTTTTGCCTAATCCATTTGTGAGCTTTTAATTCTATTTTATTACTAAGAAGTTGCAGCTAGATACTAGCCTTCTTTAACCCTTCCTGACTCAAATTTTCAATGATTTTTATTGAGTTTGTTGAGGGAGAATTGTCTGCACTCACTAGTCTAAACTAAGAAAAGAAATATAAACCATCCTGCAGTTTGATATGAAGAGGTGTTGAGGTAGTGACAATGAATATAAATTCTCATCTTCTATTGAGCACTCTTTTTCTTAAAGTATGTTTTCATTGATTTTAGAGAGAAAGGGAGAGGGAGAGGGAGATAGAAACATCAATGAGATAGAAACATCATCAATCAGGTGCCTCCTGTACGTCCCTTCCTGAGGATCAAGCCTGCAATCTGGGCATGTGCCCTGACCCAGGAATCAAACTGGGGTCCTCTTGGCTCCTGGGTTGATGTTTAACCACTGAGCCATGCCAGCTGGGCTGTTGAGCAGAGAGCTCTGTCATTGCCACAGAGTTTTTATTTCTCATACTAGAGGCCCAGTACACAAAAATTTGTGCACTTGTGTGGGGGGTCCCTCAGTCCGGCCTGTGCCCTCTCTCAGTCTGGGACCCCTCGGGGGATGTCCACCTGCTGGCTTAGGCCTGCTCCCCAGGGGGACAAGACCTAAGCTGGCAGTAAGAAATTCCTCTGGCAGCCCAGGAGCCCTTGGAGGATTTCCACTTGCCAATGGGGAGCAGGCCTAAGCTGCAGTTGGACATCCTTAGCACTGCTGAGGAGGCAGGAGAGGCTCCCACCACCACTGCTGTACTAGCAGCCGTCAGCCTGGCTTGTGGCTGAGCAGGGCTCCACCTGTGGGAATGCACTGACCACCAGTGGGCAGCTCCTGCATTGAGCATCTGCCCCCTGGTGGTCAATGTGTGTCACAGTGACAAGTCATTCCCAGTCATTCTGATGTTAGAGTCAATTTGCATATTACCCTTTTATTATATAGGATAGAGGCCTGGTGCACGGGTGAGGGCCAGCTGATTTTCTCTGAAAGGTGTCCCGAATCAGGGTGGGGGTCCCCACTGGGGTGCCTGGCCAGCCTGGGTGAGGGGCTGATGGCTGTTTGAAGTCTGGTCAAGCCCCCCAGTGGGGACCCTCACCCCATGGGGGTGTGGCCAGCCTGGGTAAGGGGCTGAGGGCCGTTTTCAGGCTGGCCATGGCCAGGCTGGAAGAAGTATCTGGGATTTACTTAACTTCTATAATTGAAACTTTGTTGCCTTCGTCCCACTCAAAGCCTGGGTTGCCCCCTGCAACCCTTGTTCCCAGCCCCTCCTTGAGTGGAGGCCAGGGCGGCTGGAAGCAGGTACCTGGGGTTTATTTATCTTCTATTATTGAAACTTAGTAGCCTTGAGCTGAGCTTAGGGCTGGCCAGGGCAGGTGGGAAGCTTAGCTTCCTCCATCGCCAGGGCAACCCCAGCCTCCTGCTCACTCCAGCTCCGTGGCCACCACCATCTTTGTGATGGAGTGAGGGTTAATTTGCATATTACTCTTTTATTAGATAGGATAGAATAAGAAATGTGTTTCAAAATAATAAAATTTAACATTCAGTGCCAGATAGTGTGCCTGTCTCATCTCGTTTACACTCCTAGTCATTCCATCAGGTAGCTATTATTAACCTCCCCTTCTCATATGAGGACACCTTGAAAGGTGAGTAATCGGCATGGTCACCTGGCTGATGTAGAGCTAGGAGTGAATCCATGGGATTCATCTCGACATCCTTTCATAACCTCTGTTGTGCTGCTTTTTTGGAACAAATAGGCCTTAATAACAAAATCCTTTACATTGAACATTCAGACGTGCCATGGAGTTTCTCAAAACTGGGTTTTTACATGTGTTCATGGAGCTTGTTCTTCAGCTTGTTGCTTTTTTTTAGTGCTATGTAAAATTTACAGAGAACTGGAACTTTCTTTCTTTGAATCACTGCTCATGGAATCCAGTAATGAGTCATACCTCCTCTTTTTCCTCCTCGTTATAGAGACCATCTGCCCTGGGTGCCAGGACCTCCTGGTTTATACCGGGTCTGGCATGTATGGGTAGCTTTTCTTACTCTCAGAAGGGCCCTGGTTCAGATGAAGGTCACATGGTTGCCTGAGAGGTTTGTCACTGAAACGCCAAGGGGCCTATGGTGGCTGCCCACTAGGTGTCAGCAGTGTAACCCCTAGTGAGCACTCAGGGAAGTCCAATCAGGGAGTGTAATTAGTGGATCCAGAGCTACCTGCAGCCGAGCCACTCAGCACAGCGACAGAGAGAGTCAGGAGGAGAGAAGGGGCAGGTGCGAGGCAGCAGCCCTCGCTGGGAGCGGGGAGAGGAGGACCCCTCCTGCAGGACTCCAGCTACGTCTGGAAGGAGCCCGAGGCATCCTTGTCAATTTTCATTCTCAGGACCAAGCCCGTGTGCCGTGCCATGCAGTGAGAAACAGCTTTGCGCGAAGAGGGATTTTCCCTTCCCAGATGCACTCCTCACCAGCCAGGTAAAGTCACACAGATGCTCCCAGGGGAACAGAGCTGCTGAATGACTGTGTGCGAGGCAGAAGTGAGCTGCCTAAAAAGAATCTCATCGAGGCCATTTGAGAGCATCTGCACTCAGGACTCAAGGCCACACTCGGACCCTTGCTGGGCCCGTGGACTGTGCTCGTGTCCTGCTCACCGGCGGACGCCTGTGCTCAGGACCCTTGAGGCAGGGCCCAGCGTGAGGGGCGGGAGGAGGCCCAGCATGGGTTTCCAGGCACCAGGGCCGCTCAGTCCTTGGCAGTGGCTGTTGCTGCTAGTGGCCCTCAAGGGTTCCAAAGCAACGTCTGATTTGAACAAACCCACGGATTCCATGGCCCAGCAGGAGCCTGGGGCTGGGTTTGCTGCTTCGGGCCCGGCTCTGGGTGAGATCACTGTCTTTGCACTGGACTATGACTACGTGCAAGTCCCCTATGAAGTCACCCTCTGGATCCTTCTAGCTTCCCTCGCAAAAATAGGTGAGTCCCCCCACCTGGGCTGTGCACGTCTCCCACATGAGAGGCTGAGTGTGGCCACGCCTGGGATGGGAGCTGAGTGGGTGTACTGCAGTGCTGTCACGTCAGCTCTGCCCTTGATTCCAGGGGGCACCAGCTCCGTGCAGCCACTGGGGCTCAGGCCTGTGTGTTGGCATGTAAAGTGTACCTTCGGTGCTGGGTTGTTTGGATTTCTCCTCGTTTCGGTGTGACAACCATGTGACATTAGTTGGTGTGCAGCAACCTCAAGGTTCTGTGCTTTAAAAATCACTGCAGAGTGAGGCATGCAGACCTCAGGATGATGGCCAATGGGAATTCACGAATCACATAAAGATTCTCTGTAAAACATTCTCCCTTCATTCTTGGCCCCGTAGCCAGGGGCTTCAGCAGCGGCTCCCACTGTTAATTCTGTAACAGTGGGGTGTGCTCCTCGCAAACTGGCAGAGAGCAACTCTTAGGTGCTTCAGTGACAGGAATGGGGACACAGGAGATTAGATCTGTAGGTAGAATATAGATCTACACAGGAGCCTAATGCAGCCAGTGGGGCACCCATGCTTTCCTTTGTGAAATAAAGTGAATTCAAGTTGATGGATTAAATGCTAATCAAGGTTCTTTGTGCCAAACCCAATGTGATGGTTTACGCTCTGTGACCATTTAATTCCAAATGCCACCCCCTTTCTCCTTCAAACCAGCTACTGAGAGCCAAGGCCAGGCTCAGTTGGTTGAAGCGTCATCCCAGCACCAAAAGGTTGTGGGTTCGAATCTGGTCAGAGCACATACCTAAGCTGAAGGTTCTATCTCCAATCAAGTCGAGTATGGGAGACAACTGATCACTGTTTCTCTGCCACATCTCTCTCTCTCTCTCTCTTTCTCTTTCTCTCTCTCTCTCTCAAATCCTCAGGTGATGACTAAAAAATTTTTTTAATAAAACCAGCTTATTCAAAAGTGGAAAACTGATACAAGTATTTCAATTACTTTGTATAACATATCCTTTGCCAAGGTTATGAAATTTGTCATTTGAATAAATTGCTTTATTAGAAACTATGGTGCCCATTTATATTAACCGCAAGGCTGGGTGGGAAATGGGGTTGAGCCATGAGATCTTCCAGCTAATTCCTTGGCATCAGGACTGAGGGCTCTGTCTCTTCACCTGCCCCCCGGGGATGTTGGGGGAACAGTGTATTAGTCAGGTGCTCCTTCATAATTGCCATTCCTTCTGAGCTAGTGAGGTATGGAGACTAAATGGAGTTGTCACCCTGAAGAACTCTTGTGTGATCTGTCAAATGGTTAAGTTATACAAAGGGTTTCACATCATCTCTAAGAAGTGCTCACATAAGAATCGCTTTCTGAAGGGGGGATAGGCTCAGCGTAGAGCTGAGGGCCCAGCGCCTCTCAGGCAGCCACATGGACTGAGAACATTCAGGGTGGTTGGTGGGTTTTAAATGCTCCTTTGTACACATGGGAGGGATGCTGAGGCTGTTCTGGGTCAGGAACTAGATCTGCCCGGGACTGGCTAGCAACTGTGTCTTTCTACATATCAGCTTGTTGGTCTGTGAAACTATTTTTAAAAACTTTTCGGTGCAAATAAGGATTTTATAATATAAAAGAGGCTTATGCTCTATGTCAGTAAACATCGCAATGCAGGAAGGATGTCTTTTATCCAGTTTGATGTTAGCATAAAGCAGATTGCTCTCTACAGGTAGCATATGTGCCCAGGCTCACTGTCTAGAAGTGTAGAGTGTTGTGGTGTTTTAAATGTTCTTGATTTTCAAAGGGATATAATTCAATGTACTTTAGAAAAAGAAAATAGCTTAAGTAGGTTTTCAGGTGGATCATGCGCATTCAAGTACAATTTTATATTTGCTAGTCTTCCAGAATTCAGATTATTTTTACATTGTACATGAAAAGAAGGCATGTTTATTGAATACATACTAGGTGCCAATTACTGGGCTTGTAGATTTCTATATGGTGGTTCATTCACCAGGGGCGGGGGCGGGGGCAGAGGTGGGGAGACATAAAACTTTAAGGCAAGAAACCAATACAGGCTTTCTTAGATTCTACATTATGAAATTTGAGTTAAGATACAATTAATAATCATTATTATTATTCATTATTTCATTTACCATTCTAGCAGACCACATTCATTGAGTGCTAGGCAATGTGTGGAAATGACTGTGGTCCCTGGCCTCAGGGACTTCGCTGCATGGGGAAGACAGGTGGATCCAGTGCTGCCTGGCAGGCCTCTGACAGGAAACATCACAACTCTCCCCAGTACTTCTGATCTCATTATTTATTTATTTATTTATTTAAACATGTTTTTATGGATTTTAGAGAAGAGGAAGGGAGAAGGACAGAGAGAAACATCAACGAGAGAGAGAAACATTGATTGGCTGCCCTTGCATACCCCCTACTGGGGATGGAGACTGCAATCCAGGCATGTGCCCTGACAGGGAATCGAACTGGTAACTTCCTGGTGCCCCCCAGAGGATACCCAACCAACTGGGCCACACTGGCCCGGGCTCCCCAATCCTTTTAAAAACACCAACTATGCAAGTTGAAAAGAATGATACTATAGAACAAAAATAATACAAAGTCACCTCAGACTTGCTGTTTATCTTTTATTTCAGTTCTGCTTCTTGTAAGTTTACAGAAGGATGTCCTGAATCATTGGGCAGAATGGAAAGGGGGACTCTCTGACTTGTAGGTAGGACATTGTTATTTAAGTTTCAGTCCCTGAAACTAAAAATCCTCCAGTGACTGACTCTATTGTTATCATGAAAGGGAGAAAGCTCTGGAGTGATGGGCAGGCAGCACTGCCTTCCAGGGCCCTGCATGCAGGCGCCTCCCCAGGGGCTGGGTGGGTGCATGCGCTGAGGGTGGGGCATGCCACACTCATCACAGGGCACTGGAGCCCGGAAAGCAGGGCCAAACTGGGGCGGCAAAAGCCTAATAACACTGCATATGGGCTCGTCTGCCTCTTTTACATTCAAAAAGTCCAATGTGGTTGAAGACAGCACCACAAGAAGAAGAGGAGGAGGAAGGGTAGGAGGGAATGGGAGGAGAAAGTTCTCTTCAGAAACAGAGAGAGCAGGATTTTAGGAGACCTTACGCTGGTGTTAAAGCCAGTGGACTAAGTGTGTGGTCTGGGATAATGTCTCTTGATGCGAATGCGCCATTGCATTAACCAGCCTGCTATAGTGAATGGAGGAGTTCAAAGTTATGGTCAGGGAAACACACATGCTCCCTGGATGGCTGACCCTAAGAAATTCCAAAGGAGACATTCAATGGCTCCCCATGGTCTATGGAAGAAAAGCTACACCCCTTAACCTTGAATTCAAGGCCCCCATCATTTGGCTCAAAATCATCAGAGCATCTTTTTCCAATGCTCTTCCCAATTCCAGATTTGCCCCAACCAGGTGGGTGCCCTCAATGTATTAATCATATCTGGCTGGGCCATTCCTGTCTCTCTATTTTCTCTTGGCATTCTCCCAGCCTGAAATGTCTTCCATTTCATCTATGTAAGTCATAAGCATTCTCCAACAGCCTGTTCAGCTTCTACTTACTATGTAACATCTTCTCTCACCAACATGCAGCCTGCTCACCCATTCCCTTACACACGTAATTCTCCCAGCAGGCCGCGGGCCACTGTGCAGAAGACATCTGGGTGGGCGCATTGGCAGGTATAAAGATGTCTACCATTCTGCCTGAGTCTGAGGAGTTCAGAGTTTAGTGGGTGAGGTAAGAATGCACACAGACACAGTAGAAAGGGGTCATTGTTGTCAGACCGGGACATACGACATAATCATTCAGGGGAAGACATATTATCTCTTTTTGGAAGAGATCAGGAAAAGCTTAACCTCAAAGATTGAGCAGGATCAGAAAAATTTGAATGAAAGACAATCCAGGCAGCAACAACAAGGTAGGGAGATGAGAGGGGCCACAGGGTGCGAAGGCGTGTGGCTGGCTGTGGGGCGCTGATTCGGAGAGAGCCCCAGGGTGATGCGCTACGCTCTGGCTGCCCATCCTGTCTGCTGGCGCTCGAGGTGTGTTTAGTTGTATACTTACACATTTTCTTGTTTTTTTGTTCTTATTTGTTAATATCTTATTTCTAAAATGTTGTCAACAGTTGGAATTGTAGAAAATATGTTTGGTCCTCTACCCCCCAGTACTTCCAGTTAGCAGGGATGCTTAACAAAAACCCTCAGTTTCAAATCCATGAGATGTGTGTGTACCTTCACAGTCCCAGGTGGGGAATGGGGCATCATATACACGTGGTGTAAGGAAGTCCTCTTGCAGCAGGAGAGGGTGAGCTGGCGGTTTGAGGGTGAGAAAGAAGTTCAGGAGGACAAGGCAGTAATTCGAGAAGAAAGGGGCAGTTCTGAGCAAAGGCTGTGGCTGTGAGGTTGGAGAGAAGGGGATGGGCTGCAGGGGCAGCTAAAGAGAGACGTTACTGATGAAATAGGCATCTGACTAAATAAAGGGGCAAAAGTAATGGGGGGTCATGAGAATGCGACCTGATTTCCCCTTAAGTGACTGACTGAATGGCAATGTCATGGATTAAATAAGGGGGAAAATAAAGAACTTTTAAGTTTTGTTTCTTTGTTTGGTGGAGAGGGAAGTGGGATGAGGTCAGTTTGGAACAAGCTGAGGTTCAGGCGACAGAAAAGACTCTGCATGAGCCTTAAGGGCAGTTTTGGGTGAGCACAGACAGGTCCACCCACTTCTCTCCTCTTCAATCCAGTGCTCAGTCCTGTAAAATGGGGGAGCAGGAAGGAGGAAGCGGGGACTGCTGCCTAGAACACTGATTTCGCAGCCCGTGCTGGGCTGCATGTGAAGCATGTGGTCCCGTGTCAGCCCCACCGCGCCCAGGTCCTGCCGCACAGAGTGCAGCCAGCTGGCCCCGGAGCCCTCTGCGTGGCTTTAGAGCCCTTGCACGTGTCTCGGTAGCAAACAGCTAACTGTGGCCTCTGCTCTTCCCCAGGCTTCCACCTCCACCACCGGCTGCCAGGCCTCATGCCGGAAAGCTGCCTGCTCATCATTGTGGGGGCTCTGGTGGGGGCCATCATTTTTGGCACCGACCACAAATCGCCTCCGGTCATGGACTCCAACATCTATTTCCTGTACCTCCTCCCTCCCATTGTCCTGGAGAGCGGCTACTTCATGCCCACTCGGCCCTTCTTTGAGAATATTGGCTCCATCCTGTGGTGGGCAGGCCTGGGGGCCCTGGTCAACGCCATGGGCATCGGCCTCTCCCTCTACCTCATCTGCCAGATCAAGGCCTTTGGCCTCAGCGATGTCAACCTGCTTCAGAACCTGCTGTTCGGCAGCCTGATCTCCGCCGTGGACCCGGTGGCCGTGCTGGCTGTGTTCGAGGAGGCGCGCGTGAACGAGCCGCTGTACATGATGATCTTCGGGGAGGCCCTCCTCAATGACGGCATCAGTGTGGTGAGATGGCCGGGGCACGTCCCCGGAGCAGGGGCTCTGGTGGGCAGGCGACAGGAGACTGTGTCCAGGGCTAATGGAGAGGGCTGAGCAGGCCTAAGCCAGGGCAGGACAGAGATGGGCTTTCGTCAATGCAGGTGGCCCAAGTTTAGGTGACATTCCTTAGGATAATTGCTCACTAACACTGCTTGCCATTCAGTTCCCAACTAGCTTCTTTTTTATTTTTTAATATATTTTTATTGATTTCAGAGAGGAAGGAAAAGGGAGAGGTAGAAACATCAATGATGAAAGAGAATCATTGATCGGCTGCGTCCTGCATGCCCCCCACTGGGGATCTAGCCTGCAGCCCAGGCATGTGCCCTTGACCAGAAATCAAACCATGACCTCCTGGTTCATACAGGTTGGGCCCAACTAGCTTCTTTAAAGAGCGGAAAAGGAGAGAGAACAAATCATTCTGTAGTTAAACTCAGTGTATCACTTTGCAAACAGAAACTTGCTACAGGTTCTTCTGGGATTGCTCACCACAGGCTCACAGTAGGCTCCGTGTGCTGAGTGCCTTGTCACGCTGCATGAGACGTGACGGTGATAAGAGAGGTGACAGGGGGCTGTGAATACGTGTTCCTTATTGTCAGTCAGGACCGCATGACACTTGGAAAATGTGAAAGCAGGGCTTTGCTTAGGATCCCTTTGAGAGGAGCCGAGGACTGAAGGCTAGCTCATGCATCGAGGCCCAGAGATGGCTGTGGCTACGGGTGCTAGAATATTCTGGACTAGCCCTCCCATTGCTATCTCATTACATTACTGAAAATTTTCACTAGTTGTTAGTCTGAGATGTTGTTGTATACTTTGATACACTTTTCTTATTTTAAAAGTTATAGCACATCACATAAGTAAAACTAGAATCCATTTTCAGTGTGAAAAGTCAAACCATACAAAAGGCACCAAGCCTCCAGTGCCCTCTTCTCACCCTTGATGAGACAACCCAATACACATGTAGATACATGTTATCTTACATGCATTGGGTGAGATTATGTTATATTTTTGCTTTCACATGTTCTAGGTAGTGACATTTCTGGGTTAAAAAGTAGGTGCATTAAAAATTGTAAAAGATGCTGCTGTTTTAATCACCACCTCTTTATCCGATTGATGAGGGAGGGACCCCACTCCTGTCAGGGAGTGGCAGGTAATCCTGGCCAGATGAGCTCAATAAAGCCCAGGAGGAGGGTGCGCACACACGCAGGGCTACGGGCACATGCAGGGCCACGGGCACACACACATGGTCACAGGCACACATGCATGGTCATAGGCACACACGCAGGGCCACAGGCACATAGGCAGGGCTACAGGCACACACACATGGTCACAGGCACACACACAGGGCCACAGGCACACACACAGATGGTCACAGGTACATATGCATGGTCATAGGCACACACACATGGTCACAGGCACACACGCATGGTCATAGGCACACACGCAGGGCCACAGGCACACACACATGGTCACAAGCACACATGCATGGTCATAGGCACACACGCAGGGCCACAGGCACACATACATGGTCACATGCACACACACAGGGCCACAGGGAACACACACATGGTCACAGGCACACACACATGGTCACAGGCACACACACATGGTCACAGGCACACACGCAGGCCTACAGGCACACACACATGGTTACAGGCACACACACATGGTCACAGGCACACACACAAGGTCACAGGCACACACGCAGGCCTACAGGCACACACACATGGTCACAGGCACACACGCAGGGCCACAGGCACACAGGCAGGGCCACAGGGGGTGTGAGAGGCAAGCTGAGTAGTGCTGAGAGGAGGGAGCCTCCTGGCTTCCATGGACGATGAGGTTGGTTGTTTGAAGAAGTCCACCAGCTGGCGGGGGCTGGAACCCACTACTCAGGGAGGCACAGGAGCTGTGCCTGGTCCCCTTGATAGGAAGGTTATTGCTGGGGAATCTCATCCACAGGATCAGAGCGGGGAGGGCCTTTCGGTTACCCACTTGAGGCCCTCCCTGTTTTAGCACCTGTCAAGGAAGAATGCAATATTGGACATTAATGTTAGCTCTTACCCCATGGATGCAAATGTTTCTCAGAAAGTCTCTGTGGGCTTACATTCCTTCAGACAGTGCAATGAGCATGTCTCCTGGTGTCGCATCAACAAGGGCATGTTTTCTTCATGCGTCCCAGCCTATGAGCAGAGGTGCCCCTGCCAGCATGCGCCTGCGGGGCGTGGCAGTACCTTTCCAGTGGCTGTGGGTCATTAATGTTTCTCATGCTGCAAATTAGCTTTCTTCTTTGGGGGTTGCCAGATTTAAAACAATACAGGACACCCAATTAAATTTGAATTTCATAGAAACTACAGATAATTTTTATAAGTATGTCACAAATATTGAGTGTTGTCAATTTTTCTTGGGGACCACGTATTGTTTTTATATTTAACTAGAGGCCTGGTGCTCGAAATTAATGCATGGGGGGGGGTCCCCTCAGCCCAGCCTGCACCCTCTCCAATCCGGGACCCCTCAGGGGATGTCCAACTGCCAGCAGTCGGACATCCCCCTCAAAATCCAGGACCACTGGTCTTTCACAATCCAGGATGACTGGCTCCTAACTGCTCACCTGCCTGCCTGCCTGGTCACCCCCAACTGCCCCCCCACCAGCATGGTCACCCGTCACTGGTCCCCCTGCCAGCCTGGTTGCTGCCAACTGCCCCCCCTGCTGGCCTGGTTGCCCCACGCAGCCTGCTGTTCAGTGGATTGGTCACCCCTCACTGCCCCCATCCCTGCCGACCTGGTTTCCCCATGGAGCCTGCTGTTCAGTCGTTTGGTCGTCCCTCACTAATCTCCCTGATGGCCTGGTTGCCCCACTTAACCAGTTTGGTCGTTCATTTGGTTGTTTCAGATGTGAAGGCTCTTGGCTCTTTATATATATACTAGAGGCCCGGTGCACAAAAATTTGTGCACTCAGGGGGGAGGGGGGAACCTCAGCCTGGCCTGTGCCCTCTCGCAGTCTGGGACCCCTCGGGAGATAACGACCTGCTGGCTTAGGCCTGCTCCCAGGTGGCAGAGGGCAGGCCCAATCCCTAGGTGCA